GAGAGAGAGAGAGAGAGAGAGAGAGAGAGAGAGAGAGAGAGAGAGAGAGAGAGAGAGAGAGAGAGAGAGAGAGAGAGAGAGAGAGAGGTGAAAGAGCGTGTAGGGTTGAGGAATGCTTACGTGAGGGTGGTGGGTTGGTGTGGTGAACAAGAAGAGACGGGCACTTGTTCCATTTTCTTTTTCTGTTTCTTTTCTAAGAGTTTGGAATGAGCTGAACTGGTGCAAGATAGATATGGATGGATGGGGTGGTGCACACTGCACTGTGAGGACAGGAGTCTTGAGAAAGGGATGGCAGGGGAGGGGCATTTTGGGGGGGGGAGACATAGGGGGACTGGGGGAGTTGGCAAGGGTGGAGGCTTTGAAGGGGGATGACATGGAGAGGATGGCAGGGAACGGGGATACAGGGGAGGGAAGACAACAAGGGATTGAGTGAGGGAGGGAGGGGGAGATGCAGACCCAGGGCGAGAGAGAGAGTGAAAGAGTGGAGGTGCACACCGACAGGGGGATGGATAGGGAGTACAACAGCTGGAGGGAGGGCAAGGTCCCCATTAGGAAGGAGAGAGAGATGGGGATGGGGGAGTGATGGAGATAGAGGTGCACAGTGTGTAGGAGGGAGAACGGGAGATGGAGATGGAGTGGGAGAGATGGAGGGGAGTGGGAGAGATGGTGCCGAGTGAGGGAGATGGAGGGAGAAAGGAGATGGAGGGAGAGAGGGAGATGTAGGGAGCGTGGGAGATGGAGGGAGTGAGGAAGATGGAGGGAGTGAGGAAGATGGTGGGAACGAGGTAGATGGAGGGAACAAGGTAGATGGAGAGAATGGGGGAGATCAAGGGAGCGAGGGAGATGGGGGAGATGGAGGGAGCAATGGAGATGGGGGGATCGAGAGAAGATGGAGGAGGGAGTGAGGGGCATACGGATGAATGGAGTCGGGGGTGGCAAAATGGGTGGGAGGGAGGGAGTTGTTCTTGATAAGGAACGAATGGTTGTACATCACAAAAACAGACATATACCTGTGATGTAAGTCAACTGGAAGACTATCGAAAGTAAAACAGGTGGTTTCCACTACGACAAATGCATGACCAATCCTATCTTTTTTTTCAGAAAAGGCGACGGCCTTGAGATATCATCATTGAGCTGACCGACTCCAGGCAATTCAGATATAGTTTGTCTTACTCATCAAGTTCCATCATCTGGATTCGAACATGGGCCTCTATTTCAACAGTTCATGGGTGTACCCACTGAGCTAGGCTCTTGGGTTGACCAATCCTATCTTGTTTGCGGGCGAAGCCGGAACAGGTCATCTAGTGGCTGTAACTTGTGAACCGCAAGGCCATGGTTTCGGTTTATCTACCCGCAAGGCTATTGCTTCTGTCTGTCTGCCTATCTATCTTGCACCAGGCTGATTAGTGCGCTGTGACCAGAACAAGCATCCATGATGCGCCCTCATGCCTTCTTTCCCATTTGTAATCGGAGTAGATGCGGAGGGGAGGATGAGGGAATGTGATATGGTGATGGTGATTATGATGATGGGGATGACTTTGGAGCTGCAGGAGTATATTGCGATGCTGTAAACAATGAAAGGAGACAGGAGGTGAAGAAGAAGGAAGAGGCTCATAGGTGCTGAAAAAGAGGACGAAGTGACAACTATTTCAAGGAGTTTTGATGATCTGCATGTTAACTGATTGACACTGAATCTTTTCCAGGTCAAAGATGACAATCAAGAGACGGACATGTCGCCCAAATCAAAGCCACGAGTTAAAAGGAGGAAGTCAGATGGGCGGAATGGGTTGGGGAAAATGGGTCCTGAGGGGCCAACTTCTGAGAAAGGTGGGTGTAATTTCTTGCCTCCTGCCTTCTGGAATACCCAATTAGGTCAGCCACTTCTCCTGCCTTTGTTTTCTTTTTTCTTATCGTTCGCTTTTGAAAGTGGGATAGCCATTGATGCTTATCAGAAGTGTTACAACGATTGATATGATTACTCTGTTCAACTGGACTGGAACCTGTCTTATTAGTTGGTCAACATTTCAGGTGTGTTCGTTGTGCTCATTACAGGACACAAATTTGACTGTTTCCATTTGTAAAGGCCATGCCTTCGTGCATCGATTTGCTTTTACTGTCAATGTCTTTTCAGTTTGCGAAAAATGCCTTTTCACCAGCTTGTGAAGAACGACGACAAAGTACTTCTTTGTAGTACCCAAGCACTTGCGGAGCAGGTTTGACAGGTCTGAACCACCCACTATGGAGCCTCATCTACTGACAATCTAGCCGCCGTTTCTGGAGGCATGGGAACCGACCGGAGGCCTGGCAGCTGAGCACTCCTGAGCAGTAAAGCAGTTCACAATGAGAAGGACAATGTTGTGGTGCAGAATTGGTTGAGGCTGCCTCAAACTGGAGGGGTGAGGACGAAATGGTGTGCATTGAAGTGCAATAAGCCATGTAGCTTGATGTATATCACTCACTGTATCCTCATCCATGTACCTGTCAACTTAACACCAACGCACAAACTAAAACACGAAAGCAAATCAGCAGTCAATCCAGTGGCCAGCTGGCCTCTGTTCACGTAAACAGTGTTTTTGCTGCCGAGCCAGCTCGTTTTCCAGCAGGTGTATAGATCCTTTCTTCTTTGGGCCTGATCGGTCCTAACAGAAGCTACTATTGGGTCTGGTATTCTGTATCCAGCGTACAACATCGAGTAGGCACGTTGGAGATCCAGTAGTACCAGAAGTGCCAGGCCTTCAGGCATAGGAAAATTGTGGGCACTCCTTACTGTTGGCGAAATCCCAGTCTGGACAAGTTTCCGATATATCGTCGGCCATGCCCATTATTTCGAAAATGCTCAAACAAGGACAATGGAATTTGATGTGTTCAAGCAACAGGAAGAACATGTACGCAATTTGTACAGAGTCTGGCTTATATGCACTATGCTACACTCTGCTCTGGTCAACAGCTTTGGTTTTTGGAATGGGATCTGGATGCTGCAAGACCACAGGCCGTTTGCACTAGTCTCTCACAAGTCTCACACTGATGGATGATGAACTGTGGCCTCAGGAGTTTCAGGTCAAAGATACTGGTGGGTTAGGGAATTTGTTTGCCATGTTCACGTCGTGGAGGGGGAGTACATGAACAGAATGGTCTTGAGAGCATTGGCAGCCTAGTCCTGTCCATGGTTGTAGCAGAGCTGAATATGAGGAAGAGATGCAACGCAACACAGCAGAAGACTCAAATCAGATAGGACAGACTGATGGTCCAGCAAAATGACAATGTGGCGCAGATCTGATCTCACACCAGTGGGAAGGGGTCCAATCATAGAAGGGGAGAGGGGCTCCGATCTGATCCCACACCAGTGGGAAGGGGTCCAATCATAGAAGGGGAGAAGAACCTCCCTGCTGCAATCATCCATAGGCGGAGGAAGGTGGAAGAAGAAGAAGAAGACGATGAAGATGAAGATGATGAAGAAGAAGAAGACGAAGACGGCGACGAAGAAGAAGACGTGGAAGAAAGAGGAAGGAGGAGGAGGAGGAGGAGGAGGAGAAGAAGAAGAAGCAGCAGCAGAAGAAGAAGAAGAAGAAGACGCAGCGCCAAACAATAATGGTCTGTCATCCGCTCCTCTCCTCTTCAATGCAGTCCAGCAAGGAAACTCAGATCTCACATCTTGGAACTGGACTCCCGTAGTACCAATATCAAGTTTCCAGTCTCTCTCTCTCTCTCTCTCTCTCTCTCTCTCTCTCTCTCTCTCTCTCTCTCTCTCTCTCTCTCTCTCTCTCTCTCTCTCTCTCT